ACACATACACACATACACACACACATATACACACACACATACACAGACTGAGATCACACAGAGGATCTGGTCAGCTGGTCTCTCAACGCAATTGATAAAAACAATTCTCCCTGAAGACGGGTCCAGGAGAACCCTCATGCCCTGAAGGGACACATGCAACTGGATGTCATGGATTCCTGGGGTGTTTGGACGATGATGTGCTTGTCCGTGCTGTCTGTTGAGGATGCAGAAGACTCATACATAATTGGATTTATGATAACAAGGTGTGTGCTTTTTGGAATCGTCAGATACCTGGGTTATCAGCTAATAAAGAAGAGGTCTGCAGCAGTTTGGGCAATAGTAAAGCTGCCAACCTTATAAGAAGGATTACTCCGTGCTTCGAGCCCTCAGACTAATATGCTTGCGTGCTGAACCGTAAGTTGGACACGATTTCTGAGAATCATAGGCTACTTGCAGCTCCTAGAGCTTGCCGGCATGAAGGATTCGACCTTGGAGAAAGCTAACAAGCATGGACCGGAGGAATGTCCACGGATCTGGCTGCTTGAATTCTCCATTGAGTGTACCAGCAGAACTGAAGGCAGACATGTCAGTAGACTCTGCCTCCCCAAAACAATTGTTGTTTGTCTGAATTTGGCCTCCCCACTGGCCTTGGATAGGTCAACTTATCTTAAATTGCTCCTGGATGATTCATAAACTAAGAAGCTCTGCCTGTCCCCCCCCCCCCCCCCCCCCCATCTCCCGAGGACATCTGTGGCCTTATCAGAGCTGTGCCACTGGTAGACACTGTACCATCATATGAGAACTTTGGAACTTTCTGGCGTGTCCACGGACAACTCACCGCCTTTGCAGACATTCTATGCATAATTGTCTTATGATGTCATTATATGTTGCTTTTTATGTTTCAAGGTATTTTTTGCATCTTTTGCACTGTGCCCCCACCAGGACATGGAGTGAGACATGATTTATTTATTAACTTCCTCCACCCTTGTGTTCTCTTTTCCTCATCTACTCTGTATGTTGCATGTAACAGGTCTCTCTTGTCAATGAGTCGCTGAGGCTCAGTGTGAACTGACCTGTATAAATAAAGGTTGCATGAACACAGAAAAGCTGAGATCACAGAGAGAGAATGAATTCACACAGAGACACAAAGTTCATATAGAGACTGAGTTCACTCAGAGTTACTGAGATCACATAGAGTAACAGGACTCATCTAGAAAGTTCACAGTCAAGTGATAAAACAAACCTGAATCATAAATGATCTTCTGTCTTCACAGTGCTCCTGTGATGGAAGCAACATCTGACTGAGGATCTGTTTTGTGTCTAGTTTCAGGAGGCTGAGGTTCTGTCCCACACTGTGGTGTCCATGGGGGAGGAGGCAAGAGAGTTCCTGCCCCGGACCTACCTGGCTCTGGGGCTCAGCTTCAGTCTGCAGGCCTCTGAGGGTACGGATGCTCCTGAACCACTTCGAGTCTCACTGAGATCAACAGAAGACACTTTTTATTTTATCTGTATAAAAACTGAATCAGGAACAACAGAAACAAAGAAAAATAAAACCTAAATTTACTCTGCAGGTGTTTGTTTACTCCAGCTCTCCAAAGACATTTAGTAAAAGAAGTCATACAGGTCCTGACCTCTGTCCTCCGACATCTGCCCTCCAACCTCTGACCTTTGTCCTCTGACCTTTGTCCTCCAACCTTTGTCCTCCGACCTCAGTCCTCCGAACTCTGACCTCTGTCGTCCGACCTCTGCCTTCGGTCATACGACCTCTGTCATCTGACCTCCAACCTCTGACCTTTGTCCTCTGACTCAACATGTTCCTGTCCCTCACTTTAAGAGAGGAGAGGCCTGCTAACACCCAGTAAAGGAAAGGAAAAAATGCATAATGTTTTTTGATCATGGCAGACAGTAATATAAG